ATACACTTTTCTATTTTATGGAATTTTTGTTTGTTTGCTTGTTTTTGTTAAAGGGGGGTAAATCAGTAAAAGTGCAGGTAAAACGGCTTTAGTTGTCCTTTTTCCCGAATTAACATAGTTAAAAAAGTCGGTCAATTTACAATCTCTGTTTGATTCGAAGTAAATAAAATAAATGAAATGAAACACTGAAATACATTTATTGCATATTTTTTAATAACTGATTAACAATAGTACGTAAATTTAAATAAGTAATTCGTAAAAATGAACTAATTCGAAGTAATGAGTTATTCTGAAAAAATCTGCAGTTGTAAGGCGCACTCTGTTTTGATTTAATGCGTCTCGTCTTTTCCCATTTCAATCAACCAGCTCGAAGTAGTTGCCGTTTCATGCGCTGCCTTTTCCCCATACACTTTTTTCCTTTTCCGTTTCATCCGCTTTTCGAAAAGTCACTTTACGATAAAGCGAACGCCAGTTTTCATCGAATCAAACGGTTTAGAAGAAGTGACTCTTACTACTTTGATCTCACTAAGCTCTTGATTTCTAATATTTAAAATAAATATTTCTTTCAGACAAATTATTTTGAACAGAATAATAAATTTCAGGCATGTTTAGAAAGTGTATATCTAAATCTAGTTATGTTTCTGTTTTATAACGTCCATTTTTACTTTTGTACGAAGTAAAAAGGAAGTATTGTAATCGCGAAAAGTTTCAGGCAGCATATTTCAACGAAAATATCCATTTTGACTGCTATCGAACGCAATTTAACAATGTTTTTGCGTGATATCTGTACGTAAGGACAGAATAAAATACTTTTTTCCTTCAAAAAAATTATAAAACTGCTTTCAAATTAATTCTGAAGAGAATTTTTCGTGGCGTCTGTACGAACGTATGTACGTACGTACGTTCGTGCGTACGTACGTATCTCGCATAACTCAAAAACGAGTAGTCTCAGAACGTTGAAATTTTGTATATAGGACTGCTATAACATGTAGATGTGCACCTCGTATTTTGGTTGCAATCGGCCGTACCAAACGTATATAAATATATTTATACATGTATCCACTCTATTACCCGGCTCAGTGATCTCACTTTCTTTACTCTTATATGTTTGTAAATTGTACATTTTTTGCTTTAAAAATGATTGAATTATATTGTTCTTATCTTCCGGTTAAGGTGTTTATGCCTTTAGTAAATCTGTATGCAATAATTTTAGAGTTATCAACAATTTTAAAGTTGTTTAAGTGCCGCTAAGCCTAAAATTTTTTTTGATGGCGGCCATTCCTTGTTTACTGGATTTTTTCCTAATCTAGAGAAACTTAGCCTCACAACAACAAAGATAACGCATTCATTTATTATTGCGAATTAAATCATGCTTAATCCTTTCTGGAATTTTTTCGAGGAAATAAGCGTTTGAGATTTACTTCGTAATTTTTAATATAGATATTTTGAGTTTTTATGTATTTTTGCCTTCTCGCGAAGTGAGAACTAAATTAATTAAATGAGAAATACTCAATCGTCTGTGAAAAACTGTTTCTTTTTTGTTTTGTTTGCTTAATTTCTTTTATACATCGTTCTAGCTTTATTATAATATTTGAATAGAACATGTGGCAACGATTAGATAATTCTTTAAATGATATACATTTTGTGGATTCTGAGTTATAATATGAACGAAATATAACACTGTTAAGTAAACCTAGCGCCAGAGTATCGTTATGGTAAACAAAGTGAATTTTAAAGAATGCATTTATTCTATTGTGGTTTATGCGCTGTCGGCGAAGTAGGTTTAATTGAATCTAATAAAGTTTAAATAAAATGCAAGAAAAAAGCGTATAATTTAATATTCCGTACAAGGAAGTCATGTGGTGTACACATCAGATTTTTTTACTCGTAATTTCAAGTCAATAGAACAACGGTTCCACTGCTTTGAAAGAAAATTAAAATGTAACAAATGCATAATTAAGATTAATGTAGTACACGTTTATTAAAAATACAGTGAGCTCTTTTTTTAACGCGACTAGCCACGGTTCTGGAGGATTTTGGAGATCTGTGGATTTGGCGGTGTTAGAAGGAGATATTCACTGCCACTGTTTGTTAATGTTCTCAAAAATACAGACCTCTTTCAGAAAACACAAGCCAATACAGCATTCATTATAATTATTTTCGAATAGATAATGGAATTAATTTAATCTAATGTCAATTAAAAAAACATGGTATATTAACAGATATTTAAGAGCAATATAATTGTAATTTTCCTTTCACAATAAGAGAATATATAAGCTTAAACAGTTTCCGTATGTGTTTCATGTTATGGGCGAAGATGACAGCCCTGGCAATCTTCAAAATGTTATCATCATAGAGGATATCTTTCATGTATAACTAATATAGGTCTACGCGCATTCAACAAATATTGAATATTCAACATTTTGTTGAATTGGAATAAGTTCGTCAAGAACCTGTTCTCGCACTTCGTGATATACTTCTCTATCTCGATTTTAGAAAGAAGTAATGCAAGTATAGTGTTATTCTTGCAATACATCGTCAGAATTTGTCAATACAGCTCCGTTGCAGTGAGTTTCTCAGCCAATCCAGCGTTTATGGTCATTTTTAAAAATTTCTTTTTTATATACAAGATCTACATTGGAATATTACACCTCGATGATCCGTCTGGTTTCAATAAACTCAAGGTTTCGACAAACTCATAAGCTCGTTTAAATCGAGACGAATGAAAATGTCAAGAACCAAATTCAAAATAATCACAAGTCACTTAAAATAGAATTGCACCTCACTCCTGTGAATTTAACACCGGTTTTGGGAAAGGAGATAAGTGGGAAAATTCAGCCTTCCATCAATAGAGGTACTATTGAGGGGAATGGAGGATAGCAGAGGATGAAACGGCACGATTTTGACCACAGGACAAAACGGAATATCCTACTCTGTTTTTAGCAACACTAGGGGGAAGAAAAGAAATGGTCTTAAAATCGAAGGGATCCAGTAGTTTCTCTGCCTTTATATCATCAGATCAGAGTATTTTCACAAACTTCTAATATGTTCGCTACTGGGAGAAGTTTAAAAATACACTTTTGAGAATATACAAATGAGATTTTGTTCAAATTTTTCAAGAGCTGAAGGCTATTTACTCTGTATAAAACATAAAGTTCTTTGGCGAAGATAGATTTTAAGGTATTTCTCCCGCCTTCTTAGCCAGCCTTCGTGGTGTAGTGGTCTGCACGCTCAGCGCGTAATTGAGAGGTCCGCGGTTCGATTCCCGGCGAAGGTGCTGCTAATTCTTCATCTGCCTTCTTCCAAAAAATACCTAGTGTCGTTACAGTGGCGCCCGAACTTAAAGGATGGTGGATGATGACTCTCCATACCCAGGATTTGGCGACTGGGGTCCCTCTAGAAACCCCAGTCGCCCTTTAAAAGGGGGAGTATATAAGGTATTTCTCCCACCTTCTTGGCATGCCTCCTTGGAGTTGTGGTCTGCACACTGGGCGCGTACTCCAGAGGTCCCTGGTTCAATTCCCGGTGAAGATGTTGCATATTTTTCACCTTCCCTGCTTCCAAAATACCTAATGTCTCTACAAGATGATTATGAGATATGATACATCAGTTCAATCCGTTTTTATTTGCGAATTGGCATAGTTAGCTTCTGAACATGTCAATTAAGCTTGGGATATTTCCTACACCCCCCCCCAAAAAAAAGGCCTACTATTTCCTGAGACAACGGCATGCAAAAATAAAATGAACTGCATTCGATGTGCGCTCTAATTTTTAAATTACACACACTTCATTCAAAACTGCAGTAAAACAAAAATAAGAAACTTACTTAGCTGAAGTTATCAGCTGACAAAGCAGATCAATCTATATCAAAGATAAAATTCGAATTCGCAATTTTCCGAATTCTTCCGCATTAGAGGTTTGATGCAAACATCAGCCAATTTTAACTGCAACTTCTTTCGTCCGTCCCTTGTCGACTTTAGGTATGGATTTTTTTCCAAAATTGCTTTTCAACAACCACGATGGTTTCGGCAGTGGCATCTTCAGGATGCGAATGATACAGCACTTTTCAATCTGGACCCATCGCTGCACCGATGATGCGACAGCTCGTTTTCCAATTTCGAAGGGTGGTGATCGGCGTTGAAACAGAAATAAATACTTGTCGAAATGAGGTTTATGATTTTTATTTGTGATACTTCGAAAAGGATCTAATAACAACGGTAGGCTGCTAGTTCTTCAGCGTTTATCGTAGAATAAACGTAACAGTAATATCGTAGAATAACTTATACTCAAAGTAACAGTAATCTGCACGTAGTTTAACTTGTTAAAATGGTGTAGACACTTCAGGAAAACTTTACAACCCCGCATTTAGCATGAAATTTTTAATTTTTTGCTTATTTGTGGCAACTTTCACGTTGAAGCTCTTAAGTAAACAATGAAAAATCTCGCTGACCGACGTGCCAAGGCCCTTCTCCTAATAAATGAAACACTCGTACCTTCAAAACGATTTATATCTAATTGTAGTTTTAGATTTCCTTTCCGAAATTTTCTTACAGTATCCAGCTGGAAAGAAGAAAATAAAATCTTGTTGAAGGAACTTTATCTCACGAAAAATGTAAATGAGCTTAACAAAAAACAAAAACAACACGCAGTAAATACATTTCTGCAGAAAGATATATATGCCAACGGTGCCCATTTGTCACCTTTATATAACACCGCGTTGTTCTTATCTCTTATAACAGTGTTCTTGTTTTCCAAGTAAGCGTTAGCAATGAAACGTTTTTAAAATATTTCGTTCTTTCTATTGAAATAACTAACTTTAAGAGATTTAGTTGTTATGTTTAGTAAAGTTTTACCACAATCGAAATAACCTGACGACGAATGTATGTTTTCTTGTCGTAAATATCACTTTGACGTACATATCTTCTTGGAGAAAACTGTTTGGTGAGTACTGCCTGACAATAGAAGAGGTTCTAAAGTACCACAAATCAATATATACTTACATCCTACATGTTCAGGCCACAGTTAGGTACATCAAGTTCGCGAATGAGGGCGTTTGCGTCATTCATGTACTAAAAATAAAAAATGAAATATAAATACTGTTAATTAAAATGAAGATTATTTGGGGGAAAGAATACCCTAAAAAAATACGCACCAAATGTCCAACAGCCGACGATTGATACTCTCGGCAATAGGGATAACCAAGAAAACTGGGCCTATAAATTAAAAGAATTAAAGTCTGTAATTAAATAATACGTGAAAAGCTGGACAGAATTTTTTGAGGGAAAACTTGCTCGCATTTATGTCATACAAAGGAAAAACCACAAAATCTACCATGCAGCCAGTTCATCCACGGGAATTCGATCCCGGGTCGAAATACCAGGTTTCAAATCTCCGGGTTAGAGCACTTGCGCACAAATCAAAATACATTGACACATGCATAAAAGAACCATTCATTACTGCATGTATAATAATAGTTTTTATAATTTAGCGGCAGTGGTGCATAAAACCACATCTTTATTATTTTTTTTATTACAACCAATCTTGATTTATAACATATTTTAAAGATCAGTATCTTTATAACTGTGAAATTTTGTACATTTATTTCGATATCCTTGATAATTAGGCCAAACGGAAAAATTAATGATACAGAAGGAAATTAATACTCCAGAAGGGCTATTATTTGCGTTTTGCGTCGATTACTTTCTGCATTGATTCACTTTTCAAACTGCTGTCACCAAATAAAACAGCCATGTATTATATTTAAAGAAATTAAATAATGAAGTATCTGCATAAATGTATGTATGTTCCTCTCATTGTGATAAAACAACGATACCTACAGTCATCAAGTTTTGAATAACGTAATCGATTTCAAAGCGAGCAATGGCAACACTGTATGGGGAAAAAAGAAAATTATCCCCAGCGCGCGAGACTGTGTACCGGAAATTCTAAAGATATGCTGTTTTTAAGTATTTGGAGATTTTGCTATTCATGCTGTTGAATAAATTTATATGGCGTTTAAGTGCGAAGAACATGATATTTAATAAATAAAGGTAACAAACAAAACCTTAAAAAAAGGTCCTTTGGGCGTAATGTTAAAATCTGAAAGTTTTCAGATTATTATTATTTTTTTAAATATTCCAAATATTCAAATAAAATACCTTATCTGTCATCCACATAACTATTATATGTACTATTATATGTACTACGGCCAGCATTATACGAGTATAAACAAATCAGTATACAACTATAACGTGTATATAGCATAATCAATACACGGTTTGGTTTGGTAGAATATGGCAAAGCACACCAGTGTTATCTGCTTAACCCTTTGCGGCACAGTGTGTCCAGTTTGGACACACCTAAAAATTTCCTTCTGTACGCACAGAAAAATTGAATGAAAAAGGATTTATAGGTTACTCTGAACCTTCTTTATTTATAGTAGATGGCAGCTCAACACAAACCAGTCCATATATTTTAGCCATGTTTAGTTTTTTAAGACCCTCATTTTTTCAAAGAAATCTTCCAGATTTTTTTTAGGGTATAAAAGGAATTGTTTGAAAAGAAACTTCTGTGTTATTTTTTTGGCTATATGCTAATCTCCTTATTCTATATTAGTTTTAAATTTTTACCTTGAATTCTTACCTAAAATCAAACGGCGAACCCTAAGTGGGCCCAGACCGGGCTCACCGATCATCTAGGACAAACGAGAGTCTGTATTCTTTGTTTCTCCGCATCTCATCGGTCCGTTAACTTAGTTTTGGTGATCAAAGCTTTGTATCGGCTCAGTCGTTTTGGGGAACTGGAAAGTTTAGGCATTACAAACAAAGAAACAGAGTGTTTGAATTTCATCGAAGAGGAAATACTTGAGGAATTTAATGATTGTAGTTAAGCTCTTAGATGGAAGATGCATAGTTGCATAGTTGTGCATAGTTGCCGTCGAAAAGAGATGTGCAGAAAACGTTAGCGAATAATACAGAAGTGGCTCGGAAACGTTTTGAAGATTTGGTTAGGAGATTTAGAAATGATACTTTTTTTTTTTTACTTCCTTGTACGAAGTAAAAAGAAAGTATTGTAATCGCGAAAAGTTTCAGGCAGCATATTTCAACGAAAATATCCATTTTGACTGCTATCGAACGCAATTTAACGATATTTTTGCGTGATATCTGTACGTAAGGACAGAATAAAAGACTCTTTTCCTCCAAAAAAAATTATAAAACTGCTTTAAAATTAATTCTGAAGAGAATTTTTCGTGGCGTCTGTACGAACGTATGTACGTACGTACGTATCTCGCATAACTCAAAAACGAGTAGCCTCAGAACGTTGAAATTTTGTATATAGGACTGCTATAACATGTAGATGTGCACCTCGTATTTTGGTTGCAATCGGCCGCACCAAAACGTATATAAATAATATTTATCTATATATATCCACTCTGTTACCCGGCTCAGTGATCTCAGTTTCTTTACTCTTATATGTTTGTAAATTGTACATTTTTTGCTTTAAAAATGATTGAATTATGTTGTTCTTATCTTCCGGTTAAGGGTTTTATGCCTTTCGTAATTCTGGAAGCAATATTTGTACAATTATCAACAATTTAAAAGCTGTTTAAGTGCGGTTAAGTTTTAAATAACATGGCGGACATATTTGTTTACATTTGAAACAGCAGAATTGTAGATTTGTTGCCAATCTAGAGAGACTAAGCTCGCAACACAAAAATAACGCCTTCATTTATTATTGCGAATTAAATCATGCTTAATCCTTTCTGGAATTTTTTCGAGGAGGAAATAAGCGTTTAATATTTACTTCGTAATTTTTAATGCAGATATTTTGAGTTTTTTATGTATTTTTGCCTTGTCGCGAAGTCAGAACTGAATGAATTGAATGAGAATTACTAAATCGTCTGTGAACAACCGTTTCTTTTCTGTTTTGTTTGCTTAATTTCTTTCATACATCGTTTTAGCTTTATTATAGTATTTGAACAGAACATGTGGCAACGATAATTCTTCAAATGATATAAATTTTGTGCACTCAGAGTGTCGTTATAGTAAACAAATATAGTGAATTTTAGTACATTTATTCTATTGTGGTTTATGCGCTGTCGACGAAGTAGATTTAATTCAATCCGATCAATTTAAATGAAATTCAAGAAAAAAATGCGTATAATTTAATATTCCGTACAAGAAAGTCATGTGGTGTACACATCAGATTTTTTTAGAATCATAAAAGGGTAATTGATCAGTACCATAAGGAAAGTATCACTAAGAACTCATCGTCCGATGGCGAGCTGTCATGTTCTGAATAGTCATTCTACTTACCCCACCATGCGATCATTGGTGAGGATAAATCTGCGACTCGACTTAGGTGGTATTTGACGGATCATCTCATGAATGACGACAGCTTTCGATTAATGACTGTTTATTTAAAGTACTAAATTTATACCCGAATTTATTTGAAGCGATTTCAAAAATTTTGGCAAATCGTTCACAGCCGATATAAGGGCCCACCATCGGTCCAGCTGTAAAGTAGTTGAACACGTAGTTCGGTCCGAGGTTCGAAACGTGCTGGCTGCATGGACGTTTTCGTAGTTTTTCTTACGTATAACGTGTATACGAGCCAGTTTTCTTTAGAAAAACTTCCACGAAGGCATCTCTCCCCCTTAGCAGATAGTAATCTCATATATATATATATATATATATATATACCGATGTAAAACAAGCTACAAATTTTGATCGATATTCTAGATAGAAATTTTCTGAACTGATAATACTGGTTTTAATTCATGTCATTAGCTCCGAAATATCATTTTGGTAAATGTAAACAGAAATTTCCCAATACTTGCAAGTTATTGTCAGAATGGTTTCATGTAGACAATTTAACTGGAGATGAAGATGCGACTGAAAGTGTGGAAATTCTTAAAGGAGGCAATACGATATTACGAAAATGGAAAACCAGCCTAAATGTCGAAAGTGTGGAAAGATGTTGAGTTCGACATCGATGAGGAAATGAGCTCGAATACAAAGGCCTCGATTCACCATCCAAAGTGCTGGGTCTAGTTTGAGATCCAGCTGAAGACAGTACTTCTTTTAACGTGAAAGAACTATCAAAGTTTGTCAATAATGGGATTGTTTCTAAAAATTTTATTATTCGAATAATCGTTCATAATTATGATCCTATCGGATTTCTTGGACCTTTCATCAGAAAGCTGAAAAATATTCTCCAAGAACCATGGAGTCATGATCTATACTAGGACAACAAACTTCTATCTTCACTGGATCACAAGTGGCAGTTTTGGAACTCTTTGAAGATCTTCTGATTCCTAGATCTTATTTTTTGGATTTGAATTATAAGTTTATTTCCTTTGAAATTCATTCTTTTTCAGATTCATCTCTTTTAGCCTATGGAATAGTGCTGTATCTAAGAGCTTGTATCAGCAGATGGGAGGATAAGTATTAGTTTTCTTTGCTCTAAAAGTCGTGTAGCTTCTTTAAAAGGTCTTACTTTATCAAGACTCGAATTAATTTAGTATCCACAACAATTAAACATCAAGTAAGTAGGTGTCTTAAACTTAAAATGATTGAATTAATGAATGAAATTAAAATGACTATTTATTTTTGGACAGATTCGATGATAACGCTGTTTTGGATTAAGAGACAATCTAGTAGATACAAAACTTCCGTAAAAAGTAAGACAGTAGGAATTTAATCTTTGTCAGATCACAAATAATTGGGCTCATTGCCCGGAAAAGGTAATCCTCAGACAACCTCTCCAGAGAAGTTTCCCTTGCAATTCCACTGCGAACCAGATTTGTGCCGCGGTCCAAGTTAAGCCAACCACCTGAATTCTGGCCTTATAAAAAAGCGTACTTCAAAATAACAGTGCAAAATAAATGTTTCGTAGAAAATTCTAAATTTATTTTAGACTTGAGGAAATATAATTGCTTGTTAAAAGTACTAAAAATAACTGCACTAGTTAAAATGGTTAGTTGATAAACTTCAAAAACGTCAAACAGTTCCAGGTCCTCTCATATCACAGAAGAACTTCAAAGTGCAGATGTAGACTGGATAAAACATGAGCAAAACATTGGATTTAACTTAGAATTACAGAACATCAAAAATGGTGCGTCGATTCCTAAAGAATCTTTCCACTTTTGATTCTCGACAGTAGTGGGATATTGGCTTAAAAATATTAGAAGACTAAGCATTTACAAAGGATG